ATTAGTGAATAACATAAATTAATATGTTAATATAAATGAATAAATAAATGTATTTATTATAGTTGCTCTGCACTGTTAAATGTGCACAACGATATTTCTCGGTTTGTTGACGCTAAGTGCCCTGTTATTCTAGCGCTACTTAATTTCACCGCGGCCTTTGATACAGTGGACCATGAAGTCCTTCCGTCACGCCTTAATCACTCTATTGGCATTCGGAGTACCGCACTTCAGCGGTTCTCGTCATATTTGACCAATAGTACCTTTTCTGTAGTGATTGAGGACTCGTCCTCTTCCACCACTTCTCTCTCTTGTGGGGTGCCACAAGGCTCTATTCTCGGACCCGTTTTATTTTCACTTTACATGCTGCCTCTCAGGTCCATTTCTAGCCAGGCATAATATAGCTTTTCACTGCTATGCTGATGATTTGCTAATTTATTTGCCTATGAGACCAAAAAATGCTGACGCAGTTGGGTCACAAATTGATTGCATTCATGACATTAAACTATGGTTAGAGATAAATTTAATTCACCTAAATAAAAAAAAGACTGAATATATTTTATTTGGAGAATCTGTAACTTCTGACTTTGATGCGCTGACTTCAACGCTTAGACCAGCTGCCAGAAATCTTGGTGTGACTTTTGATAGTAGCCTGAAATTTGATGAACAGATTGACAGCGTGGTTAAAGCTAGTGTTTCAGCAACGTCTTTCGGCCAAGGTCAAACCATTCTAGAATCGCTCTGACCTTGAAAAAGCTATTCATGCTTTTATCAGTTCAAGGCTAGATTATTGTAATGCACTTTATGTTGGTGTCTCACAGTCGTCCCTCAGTGGCCTTCAGCTGGTGCAGAATGCTGCGGTCCGTCTTTTAACTAACACGCGCAAACGTGAACACATCACCCCAATTCTTTATTCGCTCCACCTGCTTCCAGTTTCTTTTAGAGTTGATTTAAAAATGTTATTGTTTGTTTTTAAAGCTCTCAATGGCCTTGCCCCACCTTATGTAACTGAGATGCTGGTTTTCGTCAGCCAAACAAGGCTCAAAATCAACTTTTGCTGGAAGTCCCGAGGTCACGGTACAAACACTGGGGTGACCGGGCTTTTTCTGTAGCTGGGTCCAGACTCTGGAATAAGCTTCCCCCCGATATGCACACCATTACGGACCTGGGCCTTTTTAAAGCTAGGCTTAAAACTTATTTATTTAGACTGGCTTTTAATATCTAGCAATGTTGTGATATTTTTGTGTATTTTATGTCATTTTTGTTGTTGGCTTATATTTTTGTTTTTATTGCTCTGTTTTTATTGGAAAGCACTTTGGTTCACCTTGAGTGTTGTAAAGGGCTGTATAAATAAATGTTGATTGATTGATTATAGAAATAAATAATTAAGATTAAAATAAGATAAATTATTAATTATTAAATAATTATTTTATAATAATTATTACATAAGAAAAAATACACAAGTAAAATAAATAAATATTATTAATCTAATAAAAATTAGATTACAATAAGATTAAATAAATAAACTAATAATTAATTAAATAAAAAATTGATGCACATAAATAAATATATTAAAAGTAAATAAATAAATAATACATGTACAATAGAGTAGAATAGAATAATGTAACTTGATAAAAAACTATTTTCCAAATAATAGAAATGTATAATATAAATTTTTCATCAGTTTGGTCTTTATACAAGAAACTATCTGGATGTCTTATGAATTTTAGTATGAGGTCCTTTGCATGAGGCTGATCATATTTTCTGGTCCCGTGGTATTTAAAGAATTGAAACTGTTTTTAAATGACAAAATCAAGCATAAATACATTTATGCTGATTAAAAATAATCAGTACTAAATGGTTGCATTATGGTAATGAGCATCTAGTGAGAATCACCATTAAAAATAAAAAGTCCAGACACATTACAGTAATATGAATGTGCAAGGAAAATGTGCTTAATTGTCATGCAAATGTATAAAAATTGTCCTAATTATAGACTTCATTTTCTTTATGACAAATATAATTTGAACTTAAATAATTCTTTCTTTTGATTTTGGAGAGAAATATGAGCTGTAGATGTTTTCATGAGGTTCATATAAAACAGAAGGTGATTAGAGAGAATGAATGAATGAATGAACAGACGAATGAACGAATGATGAATGAATGAATGAACGAATGAACAGACGAATGAATGAATGATGAATGAATGAATGAATGAATGAACGAATGAATGAACACACGCACACATGAACGAATGAATGCGTGCACGAATGAATGATGAATGAACGAACAAACAGACAAACGAATGATGAATGAATGAATGAATGAATGCATGAATGAACGAATGAATGATGAATGAATGAACGAATAAATGATAAATGAACGAACAAATGATGAATGAATGAACAAACGAATGATAAATGAACTAACAAATACATGCACGAACGAACGATGAATGAATGAATGAACGAATGATGAATGAACGAACGGAGGGACGAATGAACGAATGATGAATGAATGATGAATGAACGAATGATGGATGAACGAACGAACACACACACGCATGAACGAATGAATGATGAATGAACGAACGAATGATGATTGAACGAACAAACACACGAACGAATGAATGATGAATGAACGAATGAACAAAGAACGAAACAATGATGAATGAATGAACGAACAAATGATGAATGAAAAAGCTAACGAACGAATGATGAATGAATGAATGAATGAATCATGAATGAACGAATGAACACACGCATGCACGAACGGATGATGAATGAATGAACTAACGAATGATGAATGAACGAATGAACACACGCACGCACACACGAACGAATGATGAATGAATGAACGAACGAATGATGAATGAACAAATGAACACACGCACGCAAACACGAACAAATTATGAATGAATGAATGAATGAATGAACGAACGAATGATGAATGAACAAAAGAACGCACACACAAATTAATGATGAATGAACGAACAAACAAACAAACAAATGAACGTATAATCGAATGATGAATGAATGAATGAATGAACGATGAATGATGAATGGATGAACGAGGAACCCAGTCAGAGTTCACAGCACCACTAAGGTCACGCAGCACATCTGGAGCGACCTGATCCTCATCCAGTCACATCAGAGCTGAAGGACTTTCATTCTGGATGTGTTTGCTCCGTGTTTCTTTATTTCTGTGACAGCTGAAGCTATCATGCGTGGTGATGCTTCTGTGACTCACCGGTGCTGACGAAGGTCTCCATCTTGTCCTTGAAGGGCTGTAGATGTTCCTCAGAGGAGTTTTCACACACCTGCTCAACCTCCTTCACACACGCTGCAGGACAAACACATGAAGAAATACTATTTACTGCATCTGGATGTGTTTCAGCTTTTGTCTTCTCCAGATGTTAACTGATGGACTGGAGTGCTGTGGATTATTGTGATGTTTTTATCAGCTGTTTGGACTCTCATTCTGACGGCACCCATTCACTTGCAGTGAGACACTGATGCAATGCTGCATTTCTCCAAACCTGATGAAGACACAAACTCATCTTGGATGACCTGAGCACATTTCCAGTGCATTTTTAATTTTTAGCTGAACTATTCCTTTATTAAAAAGATGTCATTTTTTAATTCGATTTTGTATAAAATGTCTGATAAAAAATGTTGCATGCAGTTCAGTAATCATACTAGAAATGGCAGGTCAAGCCGAGCACTTTGTGTATCTGATGCAGTGTTTTTCGTAGTGAATCGTATAATATTATGAACTGATGCGCTGCTGAATGAAGCAGTAAGGAGGTGAATTAATGAAGCGCAGGTGAGTCCTGCGTATCACGTTACCAGCACATCCATAAACGAGTTAAACGAGAAACACGAGGAAGAGGTGTGTGAAGCTCATCTCAAACACATGAGCATCAAAGACGCATTTGGAGCGAATTCAACAGATCCAGAGCAAGAATGCTTTTGATTACCGGACCGACTGCTCTGGTGTCAAACATGAGACTCGTTTATGAGTTTCCTAATGATTTCAGAGTATGCGGCTCATTATGACGACGGTGAGTTTGATTTCTGTCTGACACTGCATCATCATCTCAGTGACGAACTGCGTGCTTTGCATCTTTGAGCCAATCAGCTGAGCTGTAGATGTCATGTGACCTCTCTGAAGCAGCACAGATGCGGATGGAGTTTGTGTTGTTTGTGCTTCACAGAGTCTTTGTTGTGCTGCCAAACAACTGCGTTCACACAAACTCACAGAAATCACTCAGCAGCTCCGCTCTCTGCCCTCCAAGCATGAACATGGATATGTTTAGCATTAATGAATCTAGTAAATACCCGCATGTGTTTATCATTGCCGCAGCTATAATATGGATTTTTACAAAGCCTCGTTTTTATATAGACCTCATACTTTTACAAAAAGGCAATTCATTTGTTCTCAGAAATAAGTCTAAATCTTTATCTTTACATCATATCTTTACTTAACTCTAGGACAAAAATAAATAAATAATAATGACCTGTTTTTTTGTTTGTTTGTTTATTTCGTTTTTTTATTGGTTTTTCATTACAAATCAAATTAAACAATTTTTCAACCCTCACCAACAAATCCCTGGCATTGCATCTATGCCGATTATTAATTTTCATAAGATAACTGAAAATAAATGCACACATATGCATGTATACAGAATATATTTTCTAAATGCAGTTTATTGATCTTACTGTGAACAATTCATCTGTATATTTGTCAGTGTTATATTGATATCACTGATATATTATTATAGTTTTGGCTAATATTTTAAATTAGATTAAATTTTAATATTTTCAGTTTTCACTTTAGTTAAAATTTTAGTATTTTTGTTTAATTTTTTTAATGATTTTTTTTTTATGTATATTTTTTTTATTAATTTGCATATGTCAGTGTTATTATGTATATTTTTGATTTGATTATTTTAATTAATTGAATTAGATTTTATTTGTATATTTTCAGTTTTCACTTTAGTT